CCGTTTGACAAAACTCATTTGAGTTGTAATTTTATTCGCATTTTTATTTCAGTGAGGCTATGAGTTGTTAGAGGCGAATCCAACCTAAATCGTGCTTTGCAGAGAAGTTTGTGATGTCAATACTTTCAAGATTGCCACTTCGCTGATTATTATGGGGGTCGAGCTGACCGGTCAACTCGCGGCCGAAGCAAATTGCAAAATTGCATTCAAAATTGCATGTCCTCCCTTGTTCACTCGAGCCAAGGAATGCTTGCTCGAGCTAAGGCTTTCTCGCTCGAGCCAAGGAGTTCTCGCTCGAGCGCAGGTTTTCATTTGGAATGGTTCCAAACCATACTGGAGAAGCGGTCCAAGGGACGAATCGAAGTTTATAGGGGTACTGGACATTGAGAATGCCTACGGCGATGGATTTAACCTCAAACACGATAATCAGCAGGGAAGTGTGTATATGGCATGGCATGTTTACAACAACTCTTATGCCCACGTTATGTTCATAACACTAGATGGAACTTTGAAGAGAATGTTTATGGATGAACAAGTCAAGAACCCATATGTTTCTTGGATGGTTCCGGTCAATAGATGTGATATTTATGGGGTTTGTGGACCTTTTGGGGTTTGCAATAAGAATAAGTCTCCAAATTGTGAGTGCTTGAAAGGGTTTGTACCAAACTCAATTGAGGATTGGAAGAAAGGAAATTGGGCAGGTGGTTGTGTGTGGAAAAGTGATTTGCTATGCCAAAAGAACACTAGCAACTTAGCATCATCAGGAAAGGCTCAAAATGATGGATTTTGGAAGTTGAGAAGTATGAAGCTGCCGGATCATTTTGAATATATTTGTACACCGAGGATTCCTCAGGTTGCCAATAATGGTGCTTGAGTAACTATTCTTGTGTGGCATATGCATATGTGATTGGAATTGATTGTGTGGTTTGGACTGGAGGGCTTATTGATGTTCAGCAGTTTTCACTTGCCGGGAATGACCTCTACCTTCGCCTTTCGTATTCAAAGCTGGGTAAAGTTAATTTATTTGAGCCTTAATATCTTAGAATTAGCAATATCATTTTTACTTTGTAATTTGTTTTTCATTATATTTCTTCTTCTTCTTCTTCTTCTTGTTCTTCTTTATTTTTATTTTTATTTTTTTTTAGCAAAAGATAAGAAAAATAATGAAAAATTCATCATCAGCTTTACAACAATTTCGGGGGTTGTCCTCTTGGGTGTCTTCATGTATGGTTTGCACAGGTGGAGAGCAAATCAAAAAGGTAAGAAAGCTACTTAATTGAATTCTAACAAGCAACTATGATTATTATTAACATATTTCAAATTTGAGAAATCTAAATAATTTTCAGTTCTGTGGTTCAATTTTCGTACATCAGTAAACAAAGAAAACAGGAGAAAGGGCTTTGAAGTGGCTGATTCAATGGACACTTCAGAGCTACCAATTATTGGCTTTGATAAAATATTAGCCGCTACCGATAACTTCAGCACAACAAACAAACTTGGGGAAGGAGGATTTGGACCTTGTATATCTATGTAGTAATTAACAAAGTTTGTTGACCACAGGGAAAGCTAGAAGACGGGCAACAAATAGCAGTGAAAAGACTTTCTAGTCATTCAGGACAAGGCAATGAAGAGTTCAAGAATGAGATCATATTGATATCCAAACTGCAGCACAGGAATCTTGTTAAGCTCTTGGGTTGCTGCATTGAAGGAGAAGAGAAGCTATTGGTTTATGAGTACATGACAAACAAAAGCTTGGACACTTTTCTCTTTGGTTGGTTTATAGTCTCATCTTTCCTCCTATAAATTGTTCATAGCATTCAATATTGTTACTACAACTATGTCTAGCACTCAGGAAAGAAATTTTCAAACCTCTTTTCTTCTTGTTCATGCTTTAGATGCAACGAAAAGGGTGAAGCATGATTGGGCTAAAGGCTTCCATATTATTCAGGGTATTGCTAGACGGCTTCTTTATCTCCATCGGGATTCTTATTTAAGGGTTATTCATAGAGATTTGAAGGCTAGCAATATTCTCTTAGACGATGACATGAATTCAAAAATTTCAGACTTTGGGTTAGCGCGAACTTTCCAAGTGACATAAGAACTGACAAATACTCACAGAGTGGTGGGAACATTGTAAGGATCCTTTCTTTCCTTCAATAGATTTTGCTCACTTTTGCCGACAATTTTCTCTACTGATGCAATTATGTATTGATATGGAACATTTTATGTTTGAAATATAACAAATATAAGTATAATGGAAATAGCCACTAGTAAGGATCACAAGAGGCTCACCGCTTTAAAAATAAGCTTAAAATTTATCTTTGATTAGGATGGAGACGAGAGTTACAAATGAGGCTAAGTAGTTTTCATTTCGGTACATAAATTTTATTTTTGTTTATCATTTAGTGAAATGACTGAATATATATTGAGGAAATATAAGTGATTCAATAAATAAGTTTGTCTCCTTTCTTTTTTGGGTAAGCATAAATGTAATAATTTCTAATCAAATGCAATCGATACATGTCTCCCGAGTATGCAATGAGAGGGCTATTTTCAAATAAATCGGATGTCTATAGCTTTGGTGTTTTGCTACTGGAGATGGTCAGTGGCATGAGGAATATGTGTTTCCATTATCGTGAAAAATATTTGAACCTCCTTGGTTATGTAAGTGCACTAATTTCACCTTTACATGCTTTCATATATTGTTAGTCACCACCATTATATGTGCTTCTACTAATTCATATACCGACATATGTGGAACTATTCTAGGCATGGAAATTGTGCAATGAAAGCCGGGCATCAGACTTAGTAGATGAGGTAGTGATTGATTCATGTTCCTGGTCTGAAGTAATGAGATCCATACATATTGGCCTTCTTTGTGTTCAGGACCACACTGCGGATAGGCCAACAATGTCTGTTGTGGTTCTCATGCTAAGTAATGAAATAGATCTTCCACACCCAAAACAACCTACATTCACTATTCAGAGCTTGTCAGATGTTGATCTTCGGTCACAATGCGATAAAATATCTTCCGGCAGTAAGGCATCTCTATCAACTATTGAGGGGTGATAACCAATTAACAAATCATATATATGTCGCACAACATATTTTGATATATTTGTATAATGACAGCAGCAAATATAGCAAGTTTAATAATATAACTATGTAACATAGTTGATTTTCTATTTTGGTTATTTCATGTTCATAAAATTTGGTGTTATAGTGTACTTGACTTTGCAATTCTTGAAACAAATGGATAGGTACGTATGAAAACAAGGCAAGTGGCATTAACAGGAATCAAATGTTTCATGACCACAATATTCATACTATAATTATAATAATTAGTAACTTTCACTTTACGAGTTCACATTATAGATTCGTTTTTAATAAATTTTTTTTTTACAAAATAGCGTAACATAATACAAATATTTTTCACTTTCTTATTATGCAAGTATATATTGTAGCATTCTATATTTTGATAACTTCTAATAGTTTCTCTCCCCAACTTAATCAAATAGAAAGCAAAAAAAAAAATGTGAACCATTTTTTCTTATTCTTTTTCTCTTATGAATTCACAAAATGTGAATGGACACGATGTAGGGCACATAAGTAGTCTAAAGCCATATGATCTTTATTTGACAAATCTCACATTCTGACCTGAATTATATAAATCAAGTAGTTATACAGAGGGCACTTAAGTGCCAGAGTGACGTTTTTCAGATTCAAGTCTATGCAAAAACATTTGTCTGCATTGTAATTTAATTCTTAGCATACTAATTCTATCTTTGTCCCAAAAAAAAAAAAAAAACCCCTCACATTTTGTCCTTTTACTCATTGCTTCTACTGTTTCAAAAATCCATAACACAAACATTTTTATTTTTTATTTAGGGTTAAGTTATAGGCCTGAATAAAATACAATCAATCTTAATTTTTTTTATTATTAATTTTTTTTTTGTAATTATATTAATTTCCTCTAAAACATAAATTACTTATCAATTTAACCTATTCCCTTAACCTTGATTTGTCTAATAGAAAAATGAATGCTGTCATATTTTAATTTTAAAATGTCAACTTTACCCTTCATAGTAATCCCTATATCTAAAAATACCCATGTTTCATATCTGAATATTATATACTAGAAGCTATTGGTTTATGAGTACATGACAAACAACAAAAGCTTGGACTTTCTCTTTGGTTGGTTTATAGTCTCATCTTTCCTCCTGTAAATTGTTCATAGCATTCCATATTGTTACTATAACTATGTCTAGCACTCAGGAAATAAATTTTCAAACTTGTTTTCTTCTTGTTCATGCTTTAGATGCAACGAAAAGAGTGAAGCTTGATTGGGCTAAACGCTTCCACATTATTCAGGGTATTGCTAGAGGGCTTCTTTATCTCCATCGGGATTCTTGTTTAAGGGTTATTCACAGACATTTGAAGGCTAGCAATATTCTCTTAGATGATGACATGAATTCAAAAATTTCAGACTTTGGGTTAGCGCGAACTTTCCAAGTGACACAAGAACTGGCAAATACGCAAAGAGTGGTGGGAACATTGTAAGGATCCTTTCTTTCCTTCAATAGATTTTGCTCACTTTTGCAGACAATTTTCTCTACTAATGCAATTATGTATTGATATGGAACATTTTATGTTTGAAAACAAATAAAAGTATAATGGAAATAGCCACTAGTAAGGATCATAACAGGCTCACCACTTTAAAAATAAGCTTAAAATTTATCTTTGATTAGGATGGAGACTAGAGTTACAAATGAGGCTAAGTAGTTTTCATTTCGGTACATAAATTTTATTTTTGTTTATCATTTAGTGAAATGACTGAATCTATATTGAGGAAATATAAGTGATTTAATAAATAAGTTTGTCTCCTTTGTTTTTTAATCTTTAATTGTTTTTAGAATAGTCATATTATATTTATTGACTGGATGTCCCAAAATTTTGGGTAAGCATAAATGTAATAATTTCTAATCAAATGGAGCGGATACATGTCTCCCGAGTATGCAATGGGAGGGCTATTTTCAGAGAAATCGGATGTCTATAGCTTTGGTGTTTTGCTACTAGAGATGGTCAGTGGCACGAGGAATACGTGTTTCCATTATCGTGAAAAATATTTGAACCTCCTTGGTTATGTAAGTGCACTACTTTCACCTTTACATGCTTTCATATATTGTTAGTCACCACCATTATATGTGGTTCGACTAATTCATATATGGACATGTGGAACTATTCTAGGCATGGAAATTGTGCAATGAAAGCCGGGCATCAGACTTAGTAGATGAGGTAGTGATTGATTCATGTTCCTAGTCTGAAGTAATGAGATGCATACATATTGGCCTTCTTTGTGTTCAGGACCACGCTGCGGATAGGCCAACAATGTCTGTTGTGGTTCTCATGCTAAGTAATGAAATAGATCTTCCACATCCAAAACAACCTACATTCACTATTCAAAGCTTGTCAGATGTCGATCTTCGGTCACAATGCAATAAAATATCTTCCGGTAGTAAGGCATCTCTATCAATTATTGAGGGGCGATAACCAATTAACAAATTATATATATGTCGCACAACATATTTTGATATATTTGTATAATGACAACAGCAAATATAGCAAGTATAATAATATAACTATGTAACATAGTTGAGTTTCTGTTTTGGTTATTTGGTGTTATAGTGTACTTGACTTTGGAATTCTTGAAGCAAATGGATAGTTAGGTATGACAACAAGGCAAGTGGCATAGAATCAAATGGTTCATGACCACAATATTCATACTATAATTATAATAATTAGTAACTTTCACTTTACGAGTTCACATTATAGATTCGTTTTTAATAATTTTTTTTATTACGAAGTAGCATAATATAATACAATTTTTTTTAATTTTCTTATTATGCAAGTATATATTGTAGCATTCTATATTTTGATAACTTCTAATAGTTTCTCTTTCCAACTTAATCAAATAGAAAGCAAAAAAAAATGTGAACCATTTTTCTTATTCTTTTTCTCTTATGAATTCACAAAATGTGAATGGACAACATGTAGGGCACATAAGTAGCCTAAAGCCAAATAATCTTTATTTGACAAATCTCATATTCTGACCTGCAGAGGACACTTAAGTGCCAGAGTGAGGTTTTTCAGATTCAAGTCTATGCAAAGACATTTGCCTATGTTGTAATTTAATTCTTAGCATACTAACGCTATCTTTGTCCAAAAAAAAAAAAAAAAAAACCCCTCACATTTTGTCCTTTTACTCATTACTTCTACTGTTACAAAAATGCATAACACAAACATTTTTATTTTTTATTTTTTATTTAGGGGTAAGTTATAGGCATGCATAAAATACAATCAATCTTAATTTTTTGTTTTTTGTAATTATATTAATTTCCTCTAAAACATAAATTGCTTACCAATTTAACCTGTTCCCTTAACCTTGATTTGTCTAACATAAAAATGGTGATGTCATCTTTTTATTTTAAAATGTCTACTTTACCCTTCATAGTAATCCCTATATGTAAAAATACCCATATTTCATATCTGAATATTATATGCTGAAACCCAAATGGCCTCTCCCATCCCTTAAACCAGTCACCAATGAATCACTATCGACAACCAACATCAAACACTTCATCAATATATATATATATATATATATATATATATATATGTATATATCATAATTTAGAATCAACACATATCAAGCCAGTGTTTTGAAGATATGTTGCCCATAGGCACGCCCATGTGTTGAAGATTTGTTGAAAACCAAACACAAAAATTTAAGGTTAAATATAAGGGGAAATTTAGCTAAAACTCACTAGGCCCAATATGTTTGTGTAAAGGACAATCCAAAATGTTTTACTTCATAAACCTCCTGAGCAGGAGGCATGTTCTTCATGAAGGGCAAACTAAGGCTCAGTTTGGAAGAGTTTTGGAAATATAATTCTATCACTTGATTTTCACGTGGTGTTTGATTACAGTTTTCAAAAATTAATTCCACATTAATTTTTGAAAACTCTTTCTGAGGCGGGAAAATTTGGGCTAACTAGTCATCCCCCTGGATGTCCGGCCGGTCGTCCTCCGGCGTGTCCTCCTTCCAGGGGGACGACCGGCCGGACGTTCGATCGTCCTCCCGAATGTCCGTCTGGTTGATCGGAACAGTGCAAATTTTTATTTTATTTTATTTTATTTTACAATTGACAACTGTTATTTTTTATATTTTAAATAAAAAAAATTCAGAATTTTTAAATTTTTTTTATGAGTTTTGAATAGAATTTTGAGTTGTGTGTTTGGTTATGACTTGTAAGTTTTTATATCAAATATCATATGTCACATCAAAAATTCTCCACTCAATTTAAACTCTTTTCAAAACTCATTGACAAAACAAATTTTTCACACTCAAATCATAATTCTAAAACTCACAAACTCAATTATCAAATCATAATTAGAAAACTCTACCAAACAATACCTAATATTTTTCCTCTTTCATCTGGACAATCTTACCTTGGATATATATCCCAGAGATTTGAACTGCTAGCGTAAGTTTGATCATTGTTCTGAGTGTTTGATCTAGAGAACCTCCATCAAGTTAAGAAAGGAAGTCCAAAATAGCTGCTATTCACATGCCAAGAACCACGCTTGCCTCCTCCACCGCTCTGTCATGTGATTCAGGAGAAGAAATCCACAAAGGTTGCAAGTGTTTTTGTTTTTGTCGTTTGTATGGAATCCATAAATAGGTACGTATGTTTAGAGTGAAAAGTGTGGAGTAGTGAGAGCCAAAGAAAAGAAAACAAATTTGTAAGAGTGTTGCTCTGTATGTTCTTCAAATTCAGTAATTTGAATAAGTTTTGCAATTCCTCTTTGAGTTTCAATCACCACAAGTGATTGAATGATTCCCATCAACCCAAAATAGTGTTTGTGTTCGAGTTGAAATTTTATTTAATCATTGCTTGATTGTTTTTGATCATGTATGTTGAATTTTTGATTAATTGTTTATTTTTTTCGATTTGTTTTTGTTGTTTGTGAATCGTAATGTGTTTGTTTACTACTTTGTAAATATGAAAGTAAAGTTTCATCTCTGCTTGTTGTGGTTTCTCATTGTAATATATATTCTCTTTTTAACAGTAAAATTTTACTCTTGTAGTTTGTCCTTGTGTCATTTGTTTGTGAACTCATAGTGAAAATATGTTTCTTAATTGATTGACAGTAAAATTTTATTATAAATCAAAATGAATTTTATTTTTCACGTCAATTTCAATGGTAATTTTTTTTTAAAGAATTTTATAGTCAATCTAAATCTTATTTAATAGATCTTCATGAGAGGATTCTAAAAATACTAATTTTATTAAAAAGCGACATTTAGATAAAAAGTTATATTATTTTACAGTTTAAAATTAGTCACTAAAGATATTTTGGTAATAGTATTGTGAGCTGGACTTTTCAATGAAAATTTTTTTGTACTTGTTCTTAATACATTAAAATTTTATTATGATAAGGCTTTGACCAAATAAACCAATTATGAATACATCCTTTGAGATTTTCTTAAAATATAATTGTCTTTTGTTATTTTGGAAATTACATTTCCCCATTCAAATTTCTAATCGCATAACAAATGATATATTTCATTAATAAATTATTAAGTCAATTAACAGTTTCTAATGATGCTATAAATATATTTTAATTAACAATTTTGATAATTTTATTATTGCATAAGAAAATAGTTAAAAATTTTATTTTTTTCTATTAATTTTCTAAATAAAAAATTCTGACAAAAAAGTATTTGTAATTTACAAAATCGTAAGAAACAATCCATATTTCAAACAAATTTTAAAAAATATATTTTTAATTTATTCAAAATTTAAATTTATGTTACGAATAAAGAATGTGACATGTTTGCCACCATCTTATCCCACCAACATCGCTACAGCATTATCTCCAATCTTCTCTCCTCTCATCCATTGCATTGAAAATTAACACCGATAGATTTTGAAATGCGGCAATAAGGATGACAATCTTCCCCCAACTCCGCCCTCATGTGCTTTTTCCACCCCGATGAAGAAGTGGGGCATCAAGAATGGGTTTTTCTTCTCCCTTTTTGTTCTACTTGGCTTCTACTCTAATTATATATATTAAATATATTTATAGTATGTATAATTTAAAAAAAATTATTATAATAAAATTAAAACACTAAGATAATGCAAATAACATTTATTTTCACTCATTTATTTATCATTATATATCTTTTAATTTTCATTAATTATAAATTATTATTCATAATAAATCATATTATCTATGATTTTTATTAGTATTATTGCTATTCTTAAAATTACAAAATTAACTTACCCTTTTGCCCCCTCTCCCTCACCCAACTACCCCTTGATTTGCTCTAATCCTGATATGATACGAAGCGGAAGCAGGGATAAATTACTGTAAACCCGCCTTGTTGCCATCTCTATGTGGTGATGAATTACGGTTGCCATCTCTATGAGGTAAGGGTGGAGGTGTTACATTGGTGTAGGTCATTTGCTTGTAATGGAAGGAGTTAGCCTTGGAGAGGGGCAGAGGTGAGGTTGATTGTTGGAGGTGTGAAGGGTGAGAAGATGGAGACAGAAGGACATAAGGTGGACTAGAGAGTAAGAGATGAATTTTTTTTTTCATGTTTTAATTTTAATTTTTAATTTTTAGATGCACTTAAAACAAAAATAATTGTTAGAAATCTTGTAAAAAAATCACTAAATAAAAAATGGTTTGAATGACAATGCTTCTAAAGTTATGGTTTGAATTTGTGTTGGTTAGAAGCATTGTTATATTTGGTTCTAGGCTATTGTGGTGGTGGGACAACAACTTGTTAAATCAAAATTGGTTGTGGTTACGTTGTTTGGTTATGTTTTAAAAATAGGGGCAAATTACAAACACTCCCCTCGAGGTTTGGTGAAAATATAAATTTCCCCTTGAGGTTTGAGAAATTACATCCCGCCCCCTGAGGTTTGTATTTTCATAACAAATTTCCCTCTGAGGTTTTTATTTTCAAATAGATTCCCCCCTAATTTCCCCTAATTTGTTATGAAAATTTGATCCTTAGGGGTAATTTGTAATTTGTCAAACCTCAGGAAAAAATCTGTATTTTTACCAAACCTCGAGGGGGGTGTTTGTAAATTGCCCTTTAAAATAGTGGTAATTATGATCTATTATGGTGATGATTTTGGTTAGAATCAAAATGGCCTTTGGCTATGATCCAAATCGGATTGAATTCTGAGCTAATATGGTTACGATTAATGACTTAAAATTTAATTTTTTAGAGATTTTATACAAAAATGAATTTTTATTAATCTTTTTTACCACTAAATATAAAGTAATGGGATTTCATATACCATTTCCCACTTATATGAGAAATTTATTAGAAAATCATCTTTCAAGTATTTGTATCTCAATTAGTTCATAAGATATTCTTATATTTCAATAAGTCCTATTATTTTGGATATTTGATCCACCAAATTCTAATTCTTATATTTAAGGTATTTTATGAACAATTTTACCTTGAAACT